GCATCTGCGTTCATGGTGCTTTCTGCCATTCTGCCATTATGATGGGAGTGTGCTGGAGTGCATTAAGAAAAAGATGTTGAATAATTTATTAGTAAAGTTGGAAAAGGACAAAAAGATATTGAAGGATTTATTAAAATTACACAAGACAAATAGCATGATTTTAAGGAAGTAAATAAGAGGAAATTTTCATATGATCTGAAACCCTGAGCTGATTTTCATGGTCAAACATTGAGCCCTTGGATGATCTCCAATTTCTTGATACTGTACATGACCTGAATTTCCAGTGCAGACTTTTTGCGTGGGTTCTCCTGGTGTGAGATAGACCATTGCTTCGCACAACGAAAGTAGTCGTTTCTCATCCTCCAAGTGTCTGGGTTTGACTCAAGCACAATATGGAGAGACTTCAACTGACTTTTTTGAGCTTCCACTTATGTCTATAAAGTAAAGCAATTAAGTCAAACACTGTTGATGTGAAATTCGGCTGTCATGGCATAACAGGAATGGCATACAGCAAAGAAGGAACTCATGGCAAGATGGAGTCTATGGCACTAACTGCCCAATCCCACCAGGAAAGAACTTCACTTATGCTCTCCAAGTGAAGGACCAGATTGGTAGCTTTTTCTACTTCCCATCCCTAGGATTCCACAAGGCAGCTGGTGCATTTGGTGGCATCAGAATCTGGAGCCGGCCTCGCATTCCTGTGCCTTTTCCTCCCCCTGCCGGTGATTTCACTGTTTTGGCTGGAGACTGGTACAAGAGAAATCATTATGTAAGAGCTCTCATAGATTAACGGACTTTAGCCTAATATATTCTTATTTATTAGTATTGATACCAGGTTCTCTTTGGTTATGTAGCAATTGAGAAGAATCTTGGATGGCGGCCACAATCTCCCATTCCCTGATGGCCTTCTCATCAATGGTCGTGGATGGAATGGATGCACATTCACAGTTGATCCAGGTTCCTGCCCTCGAACTTATAAATATCCCTGCAAATATGCTTAATCTTTCGATTTAATTTATCACTAGTAACTGAGGGCAATCTATGTATTGTATATCTATCCGCAGGCAAGACATATAGGTTCAGGATATCAAATGTTGGCCTTACAACATCCATTAACTTCAGAATCCAGGGGCACAAGATGAAACTGGTGGAGGTAGAAGGATCCCATACACTACAGAATACATACTCTGACCTCGACATCCATCTTGGACAATCTTATTCTGTCCTCGTCACAGCCGATCAGCCAGCAAAAGACTACTACATAGTTGTTTCCTCGCGCTTCACCAAGCCTGTACTTACCACAACTGCCATTCTTCACTACAGTAATTCATGGCAAAGAGTTTCTGGCCCTATTCCTGGTGGACCTACTACTCAGATTGATTGGTCCCTCAACCAGGCTCGATCTTTTAGGTATTCAGCTGTTATGAGACTTATTGTATATATTAACAACGTATATTAGATGGGGTTGTGGTTAATGAACACAAATCTTATCTCATATTCTCTCAAACCAGATGGAACCTGACTGCAAGTGGACCTAGGCCGAATCCCCAAGGGTCTTACCACTATGGATTGATCAAGACCAGCCGCACAATCACCCTTGCAAACTCTGGTCCAATTATCAACCGCAAGCAGCGGTATGCTGTCAATGGTGTCTCATATATTCCTGCGGACACCCCATTAAAAATTGCAGACTACTTCAATATTCCTGGGGTTTTCAGCCTTGGTAGCATGCCTAGCAGCCCCTCCTGGGGTAATGCTTACCTCCAGACTGCAGTCATGCCTGCTAACTTCCGTGAATTCATTGAGATTGTTTTCCAAAATTGGGAGGACACTGTTCAGTCATGGCACATTGATGGTCATTCCTTCTTTGTTGTCGGGTAAGCTTCTCACTCTCAATACTCAGGATTTATGCTTCCATTGTACAGAATACTGTACAATGTTTCAGTCATAAAAAATGTTGAAGATTTGCTATGTGATCAGTATGGATGGAGGGCAATGGACACCAGCAAGTAGAGCACGCTACAATTTAAGAGACACGGTAGCTCGTTGCACCACTCAGGTTTGCAAAAAAAACAACCTTTTGGTTTGTTATTTTTTTATTCGATCTAAACGTGTTCAGTGTGAAAGCTGTAGATGCTTTTGCAGTTTTTGCTAAATATTTTGATTGAATGCAGGTTTATCCCAAGTCATGGACTGCGATTTATATGGCTTTGGACAACGTAGGAATGTGGAACATAAGGTCAGAAAACTGGGCTAGGCAATATTTAGGTCAGCAGTTCTACCTCAGGGTTTACTCTCCAGCACACTCATGGAGAGATGAATTACCAATTCCGAAAAATGCTCTCCTTTGCGGCCGGGCAAGAGGTCGTCACACGAGGCCTCTTTGACTGAGGTAGCTAGATCATTGAATTTTGTCACGAGAGTGTGACATTGTGTTTATTGCAGATGAGGGCTAACTGTTCCCTGCGGAGATCTTTAATGAAAGCTCAGCTTGAGCTTTTGAGTCTTTTTTCATTCATTGTTGTCTGGCTTATTTTTATCTGACTGTTGGTGTGCTCCTTTTAAATAACAATGAATTCAATGTGCAGCACATCTGGTTCTATACTGAGCTTGATAACTGCTTAGATCCTCAATAGGATACAAGCCTAGAGAAAAACCAAAACCTTTACCGTGTTTCCATCAAAAAGTAAAACAATCTTTAACCATGTTTCAGTTAAGGGCTTGCTTGAGTTGTGTGGACAAGGCTCACATCCTCCCAAGTGCAGACAATTTTCTGCGTATATTCATATGTTGATTTGAAATATATACAACATAAAAGCTTAATCCATAGTGATTATCATGATAAATCAATATCTAGCTGTGTCAGTAAATAAGAATATAGTACTCTAATATTTGAATTAATGGTTGTCTAAGAAATTGTGAAATCTCGCTCATGTCGGACTCTGGATTAATGCCAGGAATCAAACTCACAGGAGAAATGAAGGAATCCGATGCCATTACCTTAATCTTTTTTTAATAACTCGAGGGTTTCGGAATTTTGTCAGGAAAAAACACCAAGCTGGCAAGGTATCATGGATGCTTCAGGTCAACTCGAAGAATAGCGAGTGAACCTAGCTCAATGAATTTTTTAATTCAAAATGGCGTTGTCTAAAAAAAAATAAACGCAACTTGAGACGAAAACAAAAGATGAAAAGTCAATTTGATCTTCAGGTCACGAGTTGACCATCAAGTCAATTGGATTTCCTACATGGCTGGTCTGAACAAAAACCTTGGTCCAGGGCTCAAGTTGATAGGTTCTCAAATCCACTAGTTTGGGCCATGCCGGGTTTTAGAACAGTGGTACAAATACTACTGCATGCAGCATAGCCTCACTAATGGAGGGTCACAACCCATTTAGTGATTTATTAGTCAGCGTCTGGTGCAGCAGCGTTGAATCATCCTTTGTTAATTTTTTTGTTATTTTAAATTATATTTTTAGTTTATTAATCATATAAAGAACAATCTTATAAAACAAATTTTGGCTTCTAGTCCGATGGTGCCCTTCTTTTGATAGCTAGCTCCTACTTTATGAAACCACAACACTTATGATAATGATGGGATTGTCTTGGTAAAGAAAGCTTAATTCTTTGTCATAGTCGTCAACCTAGCTATAATCATTCTCACCATCATTAACATTCAATAAATCTTGGAATCCTCAAGGTGATCGACTCAGCTTCATGCTCAACATCTCAAGATCAAGAATTTTTTTGTTTTTTTTTTAATCTATCATCAATGGTGGGATCTTTAACGATCATTTCTTTAATTCCTTTGAGGAAGGGAAAGGGAACTTTTTCTTTTTCTTTTTCTTTTTAACTACTTGAATCTGGATTAAAATATTTTGAAATTATTGTAACTGTTGGATGCTGTGGACTTGCTAACTATTTTAGTATTTTACCTCAAAACTCGATATGTAACGTACGGATTAAGAGAGTTGAATTAAACAATATTGAATTTAACAAGATGCCAACATACTAAGAAACATGGATTTTGTGACCATTTTATCCAAGAATTAATTAGTGAAGCTCTTGCACATTTCCCCTAACAGTATTATCCCCCCCC